CTTGGGTGTTCTCCTTAATGCAAAAATTTGAAGCTACTCGAAAGATCAAGCTCTTCATAAAACAGGTCGAGACTAACCTAAGGAAAGTTGTTCGCAACGTCAGAAGTTACAACGGCCTGGAATTCAAGAACAAAGACTTTGAAGACTTTATCGGTGAAAAGGGAATCACTTAGAACTTGTCAACACCATACACTCCAAGATAGAATGGTATCGTTGAAAGATGTAACCGATCTCTATGTGAAGCAGCTCGCACAATGCTATGCTTCGCCTTATTGCCGCTGTATTTTTGGACCGATGCAATTTGCGCTGCTTGTTATATCCAAAACAGATAGTTTTTGAACAAACGATTCTCTATCACTCCCTACGAGATCTTGAACAATCGTAAACCAAATGTAAAATTCTTTCATGTGTTCGGTTCAAGATGCTTCGTGTTCAACTCAAGAGAGAATCAAAACAAGTTTGATGCTAAGGATGATGAAGGAATTTTCTTAGGCTACTCCCTGAACTCCAAGGCATATCGAGTTCTCAATAAGCGCTCTATGAAGATCGAAGAAACATACTAAGTCACCTTTGACGATAGTTATGTTAAGAAGGCGAAATTAGCAAATGGTGCAATGCAAGAGATCTTTCCAAAGAATGGTCAAGTTACGACGTGTCTTTCAAATCTTTTCGAGCAATATTTTCTTTTGTTTGATGAGGCTCAAAAGGAAATTGACTCTGAATCAACGACAAAAGACAACAAAGTTGATAATCTAAAAAAAATTATTGACGATGCTGGTCAAAAGATGGCTGACGATCAATCTAAAGAAACCGAAAGGCAAGAAGCAAGAGAACCTATAAGTGACCGTCCTGATGTTGGGGGGGGGGGGTCCATCTCCTTTTCATGATCAAGGTTCATCATTCCACGGGGAGAGCTTATCGCCTCGTTCTTCAAGCTCTTCTGAGAGTCCACTCAAAGAAGGGAACAACAATCCAGATACCGAACATGCGTCGGTCTTCGAGGGGGAGAACACCAACTTCGGTGATGATGACATTCTGTCCGAGCTAGAGGAAGAAATAAATGTTGAATTGGATCCCATCTATGATCCAAATTTCCCTCCACTTATCAAATGGACCAAAGATCACCCTCAAAGTCAAATTATTGGGGAATCTTCCGAAAAAGTGTTAACTCGTTCTCAAATCAAAGCGAAATAGGCTGCACCCTTTTCTAAAGTCGATTTTTGCATGTTCAACTCCTTTGTTTCCAAAAGTTGAACCGAAGACTGTTAACTCAGCGCTTGATCCTTCAGACTGGGTTCAAGCCATGCAAGATGAATTAAACGAGTTTGAAAGAAACAAAGTATGGCGTCTTATTCCAACTCCAAAGGATGCTTCAGTTTTCGGTCTTAAATGGGTTTTTAGGAACAAGATGGACAAGGAGGGGAATGTCATTCATAATAAAGCGAGGCTGGTGGTCAAAGGATACTATTAGGAAGAGGGAATCGATTATGAAGAGACCTTCGCTCCAGTTGCAAGATTAGAGTATGTTCTTATCTTTCTTGCTTATGCAGCTCACAAGAACTTTGAAGTCTATCAGATAGACGTCAAATGTGCCCTCCGCAACAGTGAACTTGAAGAAACCGTATATGTTGAGCAACTGCCAAGCTTCGTGAACGAGAAGCATCCAGATCATTGTTATGTCCTTCACAAAGCTGTATATGGCCTCAAACAAGCTCCCAGAGCATGGTATGAAAGTCACTCGTTTCTTAAAAATGTCTAAATTCAAACAAGGTTCGGTTCACCCAAGCTTCTTTCGTAAGCGAGAAGGTAACCACCTTTTGATAGTCCAAATTTATGTTGATGAAATCATCTTCGGCTCTACGAATCCTAGCTTAACAGTTGAATTCAGAAAGTTGATGGTAACTAAATTTGAAATGAGCTCAAATGGTCCAATTAACTTTTTTTTGGATTGAACATTCGATAGGGACCCGAAGGCATTTTTATTAATCAGGAAGCATACACCAAGACTTTATTAGCTAAATTTGGGATGATGGGAGACTCCAAAGTGAAAGTGCCTATGGCCTTTGGAACTAAGCTTACACCCTCATTGGAGAAACCAGTAGCTGACGTGACACTCTATCGACAAATGATTGGGTCTCTGATGTATCTTACAACCAGTAGACCTGACATCATGTTTTCAGTCTGTTATTGTGCAAGATTTCAAGCCAACCCACGCGAACCCCATTTATAAGCTGTGAAAAATATATTTCGATATCTGAAGTGAACCTCCTCTCTTGGTCTGTGGTATCCAGCCAACTCAGGATTTTTGTTCAAGCATTCTCAGATGCTGACTTAGGTGGCTGTGGATTAGATTGTAAAAGCACAACTGGAGGATGTCAATTTCTAGATGGTAAATTGGTTAGTTGGCAATGAAAGAAACAAACTTGCGTTTCTCTAGCCACTGCAGAAGTTGAATACATTGTTGCAGCATCCTGCACATCTTAAGTCATTTAGATACAAAGTCAACTCAGGGATTACAGGCTAAACATGAAGAAAATCCCACTATATTGCGACTCTGAAAGCGGAATTAGGATTTGTCGCAACCCAGTGCAACATTCGAAGACTAAGCATATAACACTGAGGTACCATTTCATCAAGGATCACGTCGAAGATGGTAACGTAGAAATTCACTTCGTCAGAACGACTGATCAACTGCCAGACATATTCACAAAGGCCTTACATGAAGCGAGCTTCAATAAGATTCTACAAGGCCTAGGAATGATGCAAGCTGAATCTATACCAAAAATGTCTTCGCTTTCATAAAGGTAACAATGGAAATAGAGCGAACCGAAATGAACCGAACGTTCGGTCTATTTCGGGTCAAGTTCGACCAAGAACCGAAATGAACCGCATTTTAACTGTATTCCTTTGTAAATAGAGCGAGCTTCAGTCTATTTTCGGGTTCGGTCCTTCTGAACTCATTCGCTTCTTTTTCTTAAAAAGGCATTTTAACTGTATTCCTTTGTAATCTTTTTCATTCCTTCTTTTCCACATATAAAATTCCAAAAGTATTTTTCACTTTTATTCTCATAAAAATACTTATAAAATCCAAAAATATTTTTCTCTTTCGTTCAATTGGTCAATTCTCACAAAATACAAAAATATTTATTTTATTTTAACACTTTTATTTGTCAAAGTGTATTTCTCGATGGTGGAGGTCAAGCATGTATATTTATTACAGTTTATTCCATTAGTTAGGTGTCCCTAGAAGCATGTTGTTGTATGCTGACTAAAGCCTCGAAAGATTTTGAGTGAAGCCTTAATAAAATGATATATACAAATCATGTTTTCCCAATTTAGGTTGTAATCTTCACTCTTATCATGAGTTACCTTACTCTACTCATATTGAGTTTAGAGTTTTCTGCTTGGTCACTCTTTTCTTTAAAGCAAAGGTACATTCGCTTCATATACCATCTCCAATATTTTTTCCATTATACTTCGTATCACCAATATAACCCATGAGACTCTCAACATTTACCACTGAGGTTTATGGTTATACAAAATCTGTATTAATGATCTTAGTCTCATGCCACTATGTACTAAGTGAAACCCACAATTCAACACCACAAATGAGTTGACGGTGAATTCTCATAGTCAATAGCTTACTTGTTACCTAAAGAAATCTCTTTTTTTATTTTTGCGTGATCTTTCATGAATTTGTCTTAAACCAAGGCTTTTCTTCCCTTACAGATCTAGTTTATATTTTTGAGATTTCAATACTTCCTTTTGTCCATATAAAAGATATCTTACCTACTTGTTCAATAGATCACAATGATCTCACAAGTACTTCATTCAGTTTCGGTTTCATGTCGAGTATCGAATTCATGAATTGAAGTGATAACCACCCTTTATAAATTTAAAAGATGCCTTTCAATACTTCTTAACAAGTAATTGATTGTTATTTAATGGGAAACCAAGGAAGAACTTCAATGTCTCTCTTGAATTTGAAGGAATTGATTCATGCCCATAATCCATTGTTTTTTTTGTCTATTTAAGGCATCACAAATTATCCCAAATCATTTGCTTTATTTCTTTATCTTTCAAAGTCTATGCACGAAAATTTTAATTTTCCACACTCTGGCTCTATTAATGGTGTTCAATAAAGCATCACATGCAGTGACGATTCAAATGTTCAAGGAGTGACGATTGGGATAAAGTGGAAGCTGACTCATCGTTTATCCAATCGGTTTGGTAATTTGAAAAAGCGCAAATTATGGAATGGCGTATCAAAAAGGAAAAGACCTTTCCCTTTCCTGCGTCATCCTCGGTATGCCAACTGTTCACACGTCAAGTCAGGCGCTATTTTTGAAATAATCCATGATCTCAGCCGGATTTTTCTCTCTCCTACTTGTATGTATAGAAGGGATTCGAATGGTAGTCTTTAACCTTTACCATTTCCCAAATTCTCTAAAAGAACAACGACGATCTCTCCTATGTTCATCATCTTCTTCAAGCAACTACAATGGCAGATTCTTCATCAGTTCACGATACTTCTGTTCGTCAACCATTACTCACCATCAAACCACAACAGAACCTGATCATCGACCTCACTCCGGTTGTTTATGAGCCTTAAATGTTGTACGTCATTGAGTGTCTCAAATACTCACCTGTCGTCGAAGTGCTCACTAAGGTCAAAGTCATTCCAATGTCGTGCCTTTCACTTGTTTACTCCACTGCCTACTATGACAAGATTCATGAAAGGATTCACTTTGAAATCCACAATGAGAAGACCTCTATCTCTAAGCACTGTTTCTGTGCCCTAATTGGTCTTTCTCAAGATCAATCTCTGGTAAATCCTGAATCCATTACCACTGGTCAACTGTTTTCTATGTTTTATCAAATGGGATATACCAAAACCCTTACCACCATCACAAAGTTCACGAAGTCCTTCCCTCCTCCTCAATGGAATGGCCTTTTCACACTGCTCTTCAAAGGACTCTCTGAGCGAAGCGCTGGCTCAGATGGTTCAAGCAAGTCTATCATCTGGCAACAGTTGGTACAAAGCATGTTCTGTTCCTCCAGGCACTCTGAGATCTCGTGTGGTAGATTTTGGACGATCATCACAAACTGGGCAATGGACCGCCTTCATGTTCCAATCATGGCATATTCTCTTCTCTCTTCCATTGCTAACCTTTCATACTTTGAAAATTATTGTCACCGATTCAACGAAGTACTCATTTATTGGTTCTATTCCGGAGGCCATGCTCGCTGCCATCTCTGCCTCGAGTAACGTACTCCAACAATACAGGAAGCATCGGTCTTCAGGTCTGAGGGAGCTTACCCCAGCCATGGTTCGCTCTATTGAAGAGGCTGAGAAACCTACAAAAAGAGGTAATAAACCAGAAACCCAAAAAGAGGCACAAGTTTCCAAACCCACCAAGGTGAAAACCCCTCTGAAGCGAAAGTCTGATCGGGCTGTTACCTCACCTCCTAAACCGAAGAAGCTGAAGAAGCCTGCTAGGAGGCTAATACTACAATCTTCGAGTGACTCAGATTCTGGGTATGTTCCTCCCCAACATAAGATTGCTTCTCCTTCGGCATCTGAGAGTGAAAGCTCTAATGATGAGGCTTTCTGACCGAGGTGATACTCCGCCTCGCTCCCTACCCCAGAAATTCCAGTTCGCTCTCACCCTCCTTCACCTCCACATGTTACCATCCCTGTATGTATCCCTCCCATTTTTTCCCATTCCAACCACTCAATTATTCACTACAATTCCCATCCATACTCCCATATTCACAAACACTACCACTACCACAACAGGTGCTCAATCTACCGCCCCCACTCCACCAATAACAACCAAACCACCTATCACAACTGAACCTTCACCTACTTCAAAACTCTTATCTCCCACACAATCCACTGAAATATCACCTATTCTAGGTGGTGAGGAGTTGGAATTTGATTCCACGTATTTTACTCCTTACCGAGTGCAGAGCGATGATGATGATGATGATGATGATCCTGTTACGAAACATCATCTCAAGGAGGTAAATGAGAAGCTTGATCAACTACTCTCATCCTCTACCTTCGGAACTTATTTTGAAGCTGCATTGAAGGCCTTGTTCTCCTCCGTTGTTACTGAACACAGTGTCGCATTATCTTCTGCAGCCAAAGCAATCGAGGCCTCCACTTCCCAATGTTAACAAGCCTCAATCGTTGTTGATGCTTTGACTAAAGAATGCAAGGTAGCGACCGCAAAAGTCGGTAAACTAGTTTCAGAAGCTCACTTGTTTTTTGATTCCTTGTAGGCTGCGGCTGCTAAGAACGCTCAAACTGTCAATGCTTCAGTAGAGAACCTTCAACGGTCTCTTCAATCTGAACGCTCAAACCTTGAAGCGGCACAACAAGCTATTGAAGCAGCCAATGGATCTCTACATGCTAATGTCAATGACCGTTTAACTCAATTGGAGGCCGAATTGGCTGTAGAGAATCGCATCATGGATGAACTTGACAGGCACACCTCCCAGCTAAAATGCAAAACCTCAAGCTACGTACTGCTACTACTGAGCTCTATGATCTCAAGTCAGAGAAGGAGGTTGTTCGGAGTTAAGTGGCTGATGTTCACTCCATCCTCTTTCATCTTGTTGAAGCACATGATCCAATCATCACAATTACCACCATACGTCATCTGGCTGATAAATTTAGGCCAGCATTGGTCCTCCTTAGTCGTATCGAGGGTGTTCCGGTGACTGGTGTCCAGCCGAAACAAGGGGGAGAAAAGCAAACTCAAGGAAAGCAAACTTAACCTCTAACTGAACTGAGACCATCTACTGAACCGAAGGGTAATGAAGCTTCGGTCAGTAACAAAGGGAAAAAAAGAAGAAAATTGGAGAAGATGACATAGATGATGAGGATGACGTATATGCCGAAAATCCTAAAAATCCGTTTCAGAAGAAAAAGCTCTCTGAAAAAGATTTGGAAGAAAACTCAAGAAACAACAGGCTGAAATGGAGCGAATGAAAAAGGAGACGGAGCTCCTAAAGAAGAAAAAGTCCATGTTTCCTGTTTGGACTGTAGTTTCTTTGGCTTGAGGCAGTTATGTATTTTGGGCTCGAGAACTCCAAGGACGCACAATTTGACATGCCAATCACGCGAAAGGCATTTTTCTTCGATTGCTTTAATTCAACTGTTGTTGTTCCTTCCCCAGACCCGAAGGTAGATATGGATCTGCTAGAGTTCTACCTGGAGTTTTCTCAACCCCAGTACTTGACCTGGAGTTTGAAAAAGATCACAACTGTCAAGGTTTTAAAGCCTTACTCATCGGGGAAGTTTGTCAATGTTCAATTTAAAGTAACTCGACGCTCGAAAGGCTCGGTTCACAACTTCACCCTTGCTGAACTACCGAACTTGAATCCCCATGACTGGATACTCCTCAACAACATTCTTCTGTCAAATCCTAAGGAGTACCAGCCAGTAATTGATCATGTCAAGCGTATGCTTGTGTGACAACCCAAAATTTCTATTATGTACAAAATGTCAAGTCAATAGAAGTCAGAACAGTTACTGTTAATTTTTAGACCTTTTAGAATAAGTTTGAGTATTTCAAGATTAATACTTTAGGAGATATCAGGAGAGAGGATGCCTTAGGGTTTATTGTGCAACAATAAACTTTCAAAAAAACAAAAGTTTATAGTTTACAACCTAAGCAAAGAGTTTACAGCCGTAAACCCTAATGGGAAGTGGTACAAAAGTGACACTTAATTATTTTTACCACTTTTCCAACTTTCAAGATCCAAATCCCAAACTCTCTCAAGTATCATCCAAAGATTTTGTCCAAATCTTATTCTAGTAAGTTTTTCTAACCCTTTCAAGTTAGTATAACACCTAATCTAGTGATTTAACACATATCTAACCGTGAAATCATTCCAAAAGGTTGATTCTTCAAGTTACACCAAGAACACCAAGAACACACACTATTGTTCTTGGCCTTTTGGTACCTTTCAAGTTTCCAACTAGTAAGTATTCCTACCCTAGTGTATTGCAAGGCTTGTTATACTTCTATACATCAAAGAAACTCAAGGAAACACCAAGATCAAAGGTGTTTACGGTTCAAGAACTCCTTGAACTGTAAACCCTTATTTAAGGGCCAAAGTGTGTCGTAGTCCCTTCCTTCCTTGTGAAACTGGTTTAGATCGACTCCTTATTGTGTATAGGGATTGAAAACATGAAAATACCACTTTCCATATGGATTTACAGTAGTAAACCCAAAAGGAAATGGCCTTGTGGCCGTAAACTCCTCAAAGGAGTCTAATGATGCCCTAATCTCTTCCAAAGACCTAACCATCAAGTGGAAATGCTTCAAAGGACTTGTAAAACCTCAAAACAACTTATGATCAAAAAGTAATGATTTTATGACCGTAAACTCTTGAGTTTACGACTGTAAATTGATTGGGTTATGGTCATAAAAACTGTAAACTCCAAAGGAGTTTACTCTTGAACCCCAAACACAATAGCAAGGTCCTTTAGCACTTAGATGCAATCCTTATGACTTGTAGCACTTATATAAGGTGTTTTACATGCCTTAGGATGTCTTAAGTTTTTCAATTAGTGGTTTAATGTCTAATTGAATACATATATGTGTGATTATATGTTAACTATGATCATTGGGTGTGAACAAGTCTTCACTTGTCACCTAGCAATCCTACATCTTTCAGTTCATCAAAACCACCATCTACAGGTGACTTCATACTCCTTAATCAATGTTTTCAATGATTTTAAATGCTTTAATGGGGGGGGGGGAATACAAGTAGAACACAACATGTTAATGAATCAATCACATGTGATTTATAATTGTGTTTTCATCCAGCTGATCTCACTTACTACAAAATGTGATGCATGAAATGGTTTTCAATCTTAAAATACTTTGTTATCAGATGTATTAATTTTGAAATGTTTATTAAAATGACATCAAGCCATTGTTATTTAGTGTTCAAAACTCTTAAATGTCTTACAAAACCATTTTCATCTTCCTGATCAAAACTATATCTATACACTTATGTTATTAGGTATATGTATTGATATGATAACTTTCATCCTTCATTCAGTTCCCACACTCTTGTGTAGCAAGGGTGTATAAACCTTGTTTGACATCAATTACCTTCTAGTAAACTATTATAGGGATAGTTAGGAGATACAAAACATTATTCCCATTACAAGGAATCACACCAGAGTCAGTTCATTCATGAATCTATACTAAATGCTATATGAAGAGATACACTTACATGGATACACTTACATGAATACTTGTACCTAGATACTATATGATGAGATACTATTACATATAATACGTGTAGTTTAGTTCTGTCTATCCTAGTACAAAAGGATACTATACGGGACTAACCATTCCGACACCCACCTGTTAGCAACAGAGGTAATGAACATCTACGGATGCCTATGGTTAATACTTATACTAGGGGTACCTTTACGGGACTAACCATTCCTACACCTTACTGTTAGCTACAGAGGATAATGAACATCTACGGACGTTCAAGGTTAATACTTTTCAACAGTCACGATGTCGTGTTTATCCTAATACAAAAGGATAATACTTATATGGCTATATTTGTTGGGTTTTGAGCAATCTAACAGACTAACACTTCCTAAGTGTGAATGCAACCCTAATAAACCTTGGATCTATGTTTGTCTAAATACATGCAAAATAATAATTTTCCAAGGTTCATAACCTATCTAACATGGCATGGGTACTTTTAAACATAAAAGAATTAGATGAGATTACATACCTTTTTGATGAGTTTGATTCTTAAGGAGTTTGAGGGCCAAGCACCAATAGTGTGAATGCCTCAAATGGAATCACAAATCACCACAAACTCTTGGAAAACTTTGAGAGAGTGTATACACACTACAATTTTCGGCCACACACAAGCACACACACTAGTGGCTATTTCATGCAACATAAGCATGCTTATATAGTGTACATGATTAGGGTGAAACCCTAATAACCCATGACCTTTCCTTTTCCAAGGATCCATGGGTTAAAAGCTCCATGGATCATCCATGGACTTCCATACAAGCCTATCCCATTAACAAATGGGTGTTAGCCCACACCATATAAAATCAATAGCCCACAATCTAATTAGTCTTCCTTTTAATCGCAAAATTAATTCATAATTAATTTAAGACTAAGACTAATTAAATAACATGACTTCATATTAATATATTATAACTTATAATATACTAATAATAATATGTGTATAACTCTCATAAAATTATCCATAAATAGTTTGGATGAAATGTAACCCAAATGGACCATGCCGGTCGGGTCAAGTATATACCAAATAAGTTATGGACTTAGACACCTTATCCAACAAACTCCCACTTGGATAAGTCTAATAACTGTATTTGCCTATTACTTCAGGAACCAACCAGCAATCGTAGCTCTCGAAAACTTTGTTGAACTATGAAGCACCATTTTAAGATAAGTGATCATACAATCCTCTGTTCTTATCATATCAGTCGGACAAACACATGGAACTATGTCTTGCTTATTGTCTGGCAGTTGTTTCTCGATTTCAGATTTGTTTGACAAAGAACTCAACTGAACACATCAATTTAGTTCTGACCGGGCCCGGTACATGGGTCAAACAAAAATCATCAAGGGGCCCAGATATCGCTTCTATTTCTAGAAGGAACAGATAAACTTCGACTCATATACTTGTTCTAATACTTGTTGAATTGTACACAAAGGCACATTTTATAACATCAAGTTACTGATGCGTTTACATGCAATCAATGCACAACCAACTCATATCTCTAGGTTTGAAGATTTATATGATATTACCGTCTCACGATCACTCGAGATAAATTCCATGAAGTGATACAAGTGAGCGTGGGTTTATTCCAATACTCATAACTTATGAGTACTCATGAATGTTGTAGCAACCATTGCCATGTCTAAACACCTTTAGCCATCTACAAACCTAATTCATGACAATCTTGATTCATACCTACCTCCGACGTATGACCGATTGTGGAGGTTTGAATAAATTAATTATTCTGGAAGCTAAAACATGCAAAGCTGAAACAATTGTAAATAATTGACAATGATAGCAACTCCTTACTCATAAATAAATCACAATTTTATTCATCATCAAATGTCGATTACATTTTACAAGTTTCAGAGAATCTATCTAATCTGTAAAACTAATATCGTCCCTCAGCCCGATGCGCCTCGCATGCTGAAATGCTTAGCCCTCGTCAGTCCCTTTGTAAGGGGATCCGCAGGGTTCTCATCTGACGATATCCTCTTTGCCACGAGGAGTCCTTCTTTTATCTTGTGTCTTATGAAGTGATATTTTCTGTCAATGTGTCGGGATCTCCCATGATCTCTCGGTTCTTTAGCTAAAGCAACCGCACTATTGTTGTCACAGAAAATTTCCATAGGCTCCTTAATAGCTAGCACAACTCCAAGGTCTCCGATGAAGTTCTTCAGCCATATCGCCTCCTTCGCTGCTTCACTCGCTGCTATATACTCTGATTCACAAGTCGAATCAGCCACCGTCTCCTGCTTGGAACTCTTCCAAGAGATTGCCCTCCATTTAAGGTAAAGACCCAGCCCGACTGAGAGCGAAAATTATCCCTATCAGTCTGAAAACTAGCATCACTATACCCTAATACTCTCAAGTCATCACTCCCACCAAGGGTAAGGATCCAATCCTTAGTCCTCCGCAGG